AATAATAACAATAATAATAACAATAATAATAACAATAACAATAACAATAATAATAACAATAATAATAATAACAATAATAATTTTAATAAAGCGGGACGGTAGCGACATTTAAAAAAGTAGACACCTTCATTCCCGAGTAATAGAAAACTTCTTTGCAACCGTAAACGAACTGCAGATTTTATTTTCTGCATATCTAACAAAATAGTAACTCGCCCTTACCTCTACTCCTACCACTAAGAGTAAAAGTGAGTTCAAGAAAACGTGCCCATAGTGAAGTTACATTTACGTCCAGAAGCAATCAAGGTGCCATCTCAGCATTTGCTCAATGGATCAGAGAAACGGGACAAAAACCTAATCGAGATGGGAGTCATTGACCCGGAAGCCGAAGTACATTATTTGTTACAAGCATATTAAATCTTTGAAATAAAGCAACGTTCGAAACTTCGGAGAGTTCAACTAAAATGAGATCCAAGCTTATCATTTAACCGTCCATTCTTTTTTCTGAAAATGAAATGGAGCAGTTTTGGGGAATTTTTTAAATATATTGCATTATTTCAAGTACAAATTACACGAAAACTACTCGTTTCTGCAAAATATCGTATATTTCATTTATTAAAGAGATAATACTTTACCACAGACTTTGTCTAAGACAAAAATCTCTCTTGACAATTTTCTAAAACACCGAGAGTTCGCAGAAAATGTACCATTTTTAAACTCAAAATAACAATTACACAGCCACACACAAAAAATTGTGTTCGTTTATAAGAAAAAATTATTAAATAAGGTAATAAAGGAATAAGGTAATAAAGGAAAAATAAAATAAAATAAAATAGGAATCAGACCGTTTTGTTTTGGGGGTCGCTAAATCCGAATCCGGTGTCCATTTTACATCACATCAGGTGTTTGACATAACCTAAAAAAATATAAAAATGAAATACATTTCTAACCAAGGACCCAGACCATGTTACTTATATTTTTTCGGGGTCGAATTCATATTTAGCGACCCAAAAAACATGTAGAAAAAATGGACTGATCCCCATACACGAAAAAGTTTTATTTGTGTGGATGTGTTATTGATAAAAAAGATACAAACTACATAGGTATTTAAAGAGAGTTCATTTTGAGAATCATTTAATAGAAAGTACGTGATATGATTTAAAAGGTCCCTTCCTACCCACGTACAGGAAAATTACCATGACTTTTTGAAGCTTAACATCTAAGACGTCAAAGGAAGTGGTGAACAAAAGTTTACGCACTAAGTCTAAAATTTAGCAGCATACGATGATAACGTTCTTTACAAACGGAGACTGAATTGTGGCCAAGCATATGTGTTGTTGACAGTATTTCATCCTCAAAAGAAGATTGCTCACTGATAGAAATTCATGAACGGTTTCTGGTATTCTTCCCTACCGATACATTTTAATAAGAATTCGATTTAAAAAATAGCACGATTATTATATACGCATGAATTATGTATGGAGGTCACAAGAGGTTGTTATGCTCGTGGTTGACGCATGCGCAGCTCGCACGACCGCGTGTGGGTGGCTGGGGAACTACTGTCGCAACTGGAGGACAACCACCTGTCGCACCGCCTCTGCCTGCACGAGCGCGACTTCCCTCTCGGAGCTCTGGTGGTGCAGAACATCGTCGAGTGCATGGAGCGTAGCCGGCGAACGTTAATCGTGCTCACACCTTCATTTGTCAAGAGCCAGGGGCGTAGAACGTTCTGCATGGTTCTCAGAATAAATGGTATCTACTAGGGCTTGCAGTGAGTGAAGGTCACTTTTTGGCAATAAACACGTTACGAGAAATTTCATATTACGAAAATACACTCTTCATGTTTACCCCTGATTGATAGGCAACCCCTCATTCAGTGGTGTTATACATGTCACGTTCTGATGTCATCGAGGAGATTTCCCCATTGCTGATCCTCTGTGACTAGTAACATTGCTTGGGAAGAAGTGCAATGCATACAAGATTTTTTTGAACTCGTATACATATGTTTTATGATATACAATGAACTTTACTGATTGTTTGCTCTCAATAGCAGTTTTAAATAGAAGAGAGAGTATCGTAAACTTCACACGAGTATATTAAAACCCTTACATTGAATTTCATGACTTACTTCTTATTTATTTCTATTCTTACTTCTTATTTATTTCTATTCTTACTTCTTATTTATTTCTATTCTTACTTTCTATTCCATTCTATTCCATTCTATTCCATTCTATTCCATTCTATTCCATTCTATTCTATTCTATTCTATTCTATTCTTACTTATTTCTACGACTTACGATAACTCTTCTATAAGTTAAACTTTTACATTGAATCATTTCGTTGTAGTCGACTTGCTGGATTCAGCCAAGGCCAGTTAGTGGACAGCTCTCTATTCTACCATACCCTACCCTACCCTGCTGCAGAGGGCTTTGATTTATTGCGCCAGTCTCAGATAATAGAATCAAAGTAAAATTACAATCCAATTTATTTTAACTTATATTCCACCATAAAAATTACTTATAATGAAAGACGTTAATACAGGCGAGCATAATATAAAATTAAATGCAATTTTAATGTACACAATCAAACGAAACATTTACTAGAACGGTTCTCAATGATTAATGAAATGTCAATGCTTAGTTTGAAAACTTCTCTGTGATTGGCCAAGAACTTGTATCATAATGAAATCTTGATTCAAAAGAGTCTATTCTAAGAATAAACTTACAAAATACATGTCATGTTATATTGAATATATTGTTAAACAATTTGAATACTTATGTCATAGTTTGAAATATTTTAGTGGAAATTTATGTAAAACAAACTGTACCCAAGCATTTCGTAAATAATGTTTCCTTCAATTAAACTTTACATATTTTACGGATTTCTGCAATTTTATGACTCACTTCATACTGTAGGGATGAAGCACTCAAAGATCTAAATTTCCAAATATGTGTATTAGAAAGTTCATAAAATCTCATTTTGTGGAATATTGCTTAGGACACAATTCCGGCCCCACTTAAAATTTTCCAACTTTCTCCTATCACTTTCTTGTTCATCATTTTTTCACTGTACCCACAAGCACCCATCTGCTCCCAAACCTCGTTTCAGCTGAACTCCCCTGTCCCCATAAAACTTGGGTTTCCTGGGAACATTAAAGCGTGATTTTATGGAGTTAGTGAACATCACTTCCGATCTTGCGCGATATGCGCGATTTTGATGTGGATTTCTATAATCTGTTTTTATATCGACATCTAAAAAATTCAATTTTTTGTCAACTGTTGAATTCAGCAAGGAAGGATTTTCGAATCCACTTGCAGTGCACTTACAGGATATTACATCTACATTCATTATCAAATGCTTATGAATTATCAAAAACGCAAAAAAAGATACATTCTTCACTTGTAAATGTATTTAAAGTGTTTGTTTACAAACGGATTTGATCTTTCTGCTCAGATGTCGTGATTTTTGCATTAAATCAAAGATTGTCGGTTGTGCCATGTTTATATTGTTTTTACGATAAAACATATATTTTTGCATGTTTTATAGTACAAGCATTGAATTTTATTCATATATAAAATTTAATACAATAACACTATTCTCCCATCATTTGTCATTACGGCGTATTCAAGGCCAACTGCACTATGTAGACGGAATGTGAGTGTGTTTGGTAGTTTTCTGTACAATTTGCCATTGATCTATCCACTAATGGTGCTGCAAGACCACATATTTTCTCCCATTATTTCTAACTTTTCCTGTTTTGAAAATTCTCCTCTGTAAAATCGTTGTTAAGGTATAAACATAACAATCTATGGCAACACCACAAATTCCTTACGAAGGTAATTTTGAAAGTAAAATATTGTAATTAAATGCTTTTGATAGATCCTATAATATTCCAATAGATGGTTCATTTTTATACATTCTAAAATCTGACGTCTTTAAGAAAACATGGCTCATTCCGTAGATTTTCAGTTTCTAAATCTATTTTTTCAATCCGAAAATGTTTCCTTTTTACTAAGAAAGATTTCCACTCGTCTGCCTAATATTTTTTGAGAAAAGTAACAATCTTACTTGATATCCACAGTAAGTTATATAAATGTGTTTGTCCGATTGAAATGGAACTGAAATTAGTCTTCTCAGCAAGACCGGAATTCCTGAGAGACTTGGCTTCCGCTCTCTTAAAACCAAGAGTAGCGCAGCGATTTCAAAACATTCATCTTTCAGAAGACGGATGATGAAAAATAGTCAAAGCTGTGGGAACGGAATATTAAAGTACGAAGATTTCGCAGCCTGCTTCCTCTAACGCGGGAAAAGTTAAAAAGATGTGCTTTTTGTGATGTCAAGAAGAACTGTAAAGATATACTGTGTAACCAAAATTGTGAACTTTTTTCTGACCTGCGAACATAAAATACTAGTTTGTATAAATGGTTTAAATAATTCAAACTAAATAAGATATAACTGTATGAATTAAACAAAAATATTTAATATTTTTTCTACTATATTAGTTACATATTTTTGTTTGATACCAACAATAAATATATAAAATAATATGTTTATCTTTTTTATTTGTAACTTGATTCTTTTTACCGTTACTACATACGCCAACGCTTATTTTATGCCAAAAACGACCCAAAATATATTCTTATGGGTCGTGGTGTCTGAATCAATGTTACCACATTTGTCCCGGGAATTCACCTTACCTACGGAGTGTCAAATATAAAACTGAGTGTGTGGGAGATATGTGATAAAACCTGTTGAGTGAGTTGTAATACGACTTGCAAATGCTCTTGTGATAAGTGCCAACAGGGTTTGAGGAAACACTAAGTAAAGAAAAAAACAAATTGACGTCAGAGGAGAAGACCCTTGCGACCAATATTCTTCACCACGCACAGTCAGTTGTCTATTGGCGAGTCTCGCAAACACATTACGGCACATTCATTGTCGTCGCAATGACATTCACACACGCAAAACATCCCTCTACGTATATTTGTTGCAACGTTTAGTGATGATTTAGTGTTTAGCAGTTCTGTAATTACGTACCCGCTCCTCAAATTACAGTCATGCAGATGCATGCGAAATACACATTCATTTTTGTTTTTTGTTAAAATGATTTCAGTCATCTGCTAATAAATTGTAAATGGTGGCATTTACAGTGTGTAAATTTACTGTGAAATAAAAATTGTATAATTTAAACTTTTCGAAGATTATATTTAATGATTATATTTATTTTGTAATTTGGTGTGGGAAATGAAGGTTTTTTGTTGAAAATGCTATTTCTTACATGATCAAATGTACATTAATATGCGTTTGTGAAAAACTACTATCCTAATAGAAATGCGAGTGCATGTTCTGATAGTTTATTCTTAGAACGGGGCGTTGCTCATATCTTCCTGAAGATATGGCCACCTAGGAAAGGACGCAAGACTCGTATTGAATTGTGGGGAAATTAAACAGATGCAAATAGTTATCACTTTTCTATCCACGAGACTATGACAACGCTTTGTGCATTTTTTGAGATTTTATTTATTTTTCTTTCGTTGCACGAATATAATGTGACTGGTGCAAACTGGATACATTTCATCAATAATAAAACTGGTGCAACATCATCTATGCAAGACGCGACATCTGTCTCTAAGTTATCTATTGAAAAAGCTTCCGTCATCGACAACACTCAACTTCTTAAAAATGCCAACAATAATACGAATTTCATCGGGGTACACACATCAAATTCTAAAGTGGATCCTGCCAACATCCACCGAACCACGGCTCTCAACCACACGGTTAAAACAACTGCCCACGATAACCTCGAAAACATTTCCCTACCAATCGTGACATCAGAAAACCCCATCCCCGCGTTAGACTCTTTCACGTCCGACATAACCACTCAAGCCATTTTTCCGAACCGAAGCTCCGTGACAGGAGATGCAGAACACTACGCTCCCACGCGCGGACCCCTGCAGTGCGATGGCGTCCTTCCGTTTCTGAGGAAGACGGTGGAAGCGGCCTGCTATAGCCAGTGGCCAGAAGGGTCCCCGCTGCCCACACTCAGCTGCGCTGTTGCCAGCGGATACAAGCGCATCGCAGGCACTTACCTGGAGCGCTTCCTCTACAAGTGAGTACGCACCACCTCGCAATAACTTCACTCCCTACTGATTACCAAATGTGAATAATAGGTGTTCAACATTATTAATGAAACATTTTAATATAGAAATATAAACCATTGCGTTGAAAAGTATCGATATAAACCATTGCATCGGGAAAACATTCGATTAATTGTACTCCTAATTGATTATCAAATGTGAATAATACGTGTTCAACGTTATTAATGTAACATTTTAATATAGAAATATAAACCATTGCGTTGAAATGTGTCAATATAAACCATTGTATCTCGGAAACATTCGCTTAATTTCACTCCCAATTGATTACCAAATGTGAATAACCCGTGCTCAATATTATTAATGATACATTTTAATATAGAAATATAAACCATTGCATCGGGAAAACATGCGATTAATTGTACTCCTAATTGATTACCAAATGTGAATAACACGTGTTCAACGTTATTAATGAAACATTTTAATATAGAAATATAAACCATTTCGTTGAAAAGTATCAATATAAACCATTGCATCGGGGAAACATTCACTTAATTTCACTCCTAATTGATTACCAAGTGTGAATAACACATGTTCAACATTATTAATAAAACATTTTAATATATAAATATAAACCAGTGCCTTGGAAAGTATCTAGTAACTTTGAAGCAAATTTATTATAACGAAAACACGTTAATCATATTTCTACAATATATAAAAATGCTCTATTGACCAAATGTTTTGTTGGTTGAATGTTCAAGTCTACGTTGAAAAATTAACATTAATTTAAATTCCGTTGTACGAGATTCGTACACCATTATAGTGTATGTTTGTCGTCAGTGTCTAATTTAAGAAACCCCAATATGTGTTTTGGAGAAATTCGGTATTGTTTCGTCATCGATTTGAATCGCTAATTTCATCATCAATCTATAATTAAGTACTACACTGATACTTCATTGTTTCAATTTTTGAAACGAAGGAAAAGAAGAATTATTCGTATGGCTTTCGTTTATGCTTGAATATTAAATATTTTACGAGGTATTTACTACTGAGAGAATTACTTCATGTTAGTTAAACATTATAATAATTCTTAACATTATAATGATATTTTTTTGAGTATTTTGCATATTCTTTTATAGTTCTTGTGTTTCATATTTGTGTCCTCCATTACTAAAGTTTCATTAAAAAAACCTACCTCAATATAAAAGTTACCTCAATATCTCGTTAAATACAAATGATAAAATGGAAACTAATACATGTATAAACTAGCCCCACTCTCTCATGCACATGAAAACTGCAATAACTTTAACCGTTTAAAAATTACAGGAAGTAAGAGTTACGTGACTAATTCTGTATAATATATTCATTGTCCATTTTGGATTGTATTAATGCATTGGATGTGAAAAGAATAACGTTTTATCGTCTCCCCAGGAAGTAGATGAAAGATTTCATGCTCATTCGTTTAAGACATGCTAATTTCAAGTTTGGGATATGGGATTTCTAGGACATTTTATTATCAAAAATCATTCTAAAGTTGTTGTTTCGTTACAAAAATGATGCCTTTGAGATTTAGAGCGAGGCAGGATAGATCATTTAAGTTTTTCTTTTTATTGAAGAATCCTGAATTTTGAATCCTGTTCCACGAACCCAATCAACACGTTTGTTGACGGTTGATTGTGCTAGTTGTTAAGTGTAGTGATTGCTATTGCCACTGATGTTATAATGATATCTGCAAACAAATATACTTTTAAGGATTGAGGGTTTGTAAAGTTATGCCATTTATTGTTAAAAACAATAATACGTTAATAGCAGATTCTTGAGGGACGCCGTTTCGAATGCAATATTTGTTAGATAATTTATTATGAAATCGAACACTATTCTTTAAGAAATTTGCTAAAAATGTCAGGATATTATCAGTTATTACCAATTGCAGTAATATGTTAATTATTCTATAGGTCCAATTCATGTCATAAGCTTTTTATATTAAGGCTTACAGCGAGAACGTTTATTGCTTCTCAGGTAAAAGGCACTTGCTTATCATTTTGTAATTCCGAGTGACTCATTTGTTACAGAGCAACCTATCAGGTGATGGACACGTCGATATCTGATCCAAACATCCCAGGAGACTGGAACGGCTGGTGCGCGTACCAGACAAGCCTAATGATTATGAAAGTTGAATCGCCAGATGTCATTTCCGGACTACCAATAATTGAAGATGATCACATGAACAGATACACCGAAGTGAAAGATAAGACCGGTACCAAGCTAGGGGCTTCCTTTCCTGTTATGGCGCAGGGCTTCAAGGACCTGATCCTGGATTTTGGCCCAGATGGCTTGGGCGCACGGGTGGCGTGGATGTCAGATTACAACTGCTCGTAAGTTCTTCCCACGCACAAAAGATTAGATGTAGAAGAATTACAATTTAACAGAATACAAGAAAAGTGTTTTAAATGACAGGAAGTAAATTTATTGGAAAAATGTAAAAAAATAATTTAAGCAATGTCAGAAATTCTATTTACGCTTCTTTCTTTCGAATTGCGCGTTTTACATTACATATCTTTATTCAATAATTGTTTTATTTATATCAATTCGTCGGTCTTTATGGCTCATAAATGTTATTCCTATGCATATCAAATGTGTATAAGTTCTATACAAATGACCTACAAAATAGCTTATGATAGCTTTATTCTTAAAGATCCCCTGTACACCGTGAAACTATTATATCTCCCAAATCTTTCATGGGCTCTCACAAAAAAATACTTTGACATAAACGTGGCAGATAAAGTGCTAAATAGATTGCGCATACTAGATCTGGAAATTTTGTTTCATTTACTTGGTGAATCATGTCAAAAGTTTTGCCATTTAACCATGTATTGCATGTTCGATACTCTTCTTAAAAGAAAAGGTGATATTGGATATTTCTGATAATAAAATAATATGAAATATTAATGAAAAGAAGACTTAGGTGTGGAATAAAAATGGCTAAGTAAATTCTCAGAAAATGCCAGGCAGTCAGAATATTGTGCAGTTAGCTCATTATTGTGCATACACTTGTCTTTTCTCTCAAGCAAGCAGAAATATAGAAAATAAGAAGGGTTATCATTAATTACGATTTAAAAGCTAATTTGGGTACAAAGAAGAAAGAAGCACGTTTTCTCTGACTCAATTTTGTTCAAGCTGAATAAAATCCATAATTGACAAACGAAATTATCTTCCAGATGGTAGGTAACATACTTTTCCGATATATCGAAAGATTAAAATGTGCTGACCATTTTCATAACCGCGGCGCAGAGGGTCAGGACCGTTGTAGGGGAGGGTGAGGGCAGAAGTTTGTCCTGGGAGAGCCAGCAGTGCGCGGCGATCACAGCGCTGCAGGTGGTAAGATCAAGAAACTAATTGCAATACTAATTGTTGTATAAAAGCTACATACCCGTACAATGCTCCACTTAAAAAATTACTAAATGTAAGTTTTGAACTACGGTAGGTTTTGTCATAGTGAATGTCGTATTTTAGATAAAAGGAACATAACAAAGAGATGTGGACCGGCGATTTCTGTCCACAAAGCGAAACAAACCTGCAAAGGTTGGATTTTTCTGCGGAATCGAAATTTACGAATCAAAATGAAACGGTGGAAAATTATAGTCTCAGAGGCTTCTTCTCGGACCAAAACTTCTTGGAGTATAAAGGTCCATGGCAACGACCTTGGAAGTTTTGTATGGGAGGTTCGGTCCGCGAACCGGAGCTGAAACTCAAATTGGTCCACATCCCTACTGAGAATTTCCCCAAGAGGAGCGATAGTGTAACGTATTAGCCAGCGTGCCTCATGGCATCTATTTGGGGACGCTTGGTTGCGGATTAGTCTCGCCACAGGAAGAAGGGTTTTTCCGTAAAGGGAAGAACGCTGAAACGGGAGACACAAGGCTTTGGGTGTCTTCCGGCTTATAGAAGCTTTTCACTGTTATAACAAGCGAGGGGGTGGCGTGACGTAGTAGGTCACGTGGGCCTCGCCTATATAACAGAGTGTACGGAGCCAGTAGGTAGGTTCTGGAGACGGTGGGAGAACCTCGTGCGTGTGCACAAAACTTGGCGCCAAGACGGTGCATATGCGAGCCAGGCTCGCGAGGCTGGAGTCATTAGTTGACGAAGCCTGCGGACTTTATGTCCTTGGGTAACTGCGGTCACGGGGGAGCGATGCTGTGTGCGTGCTCCGAGGTGAAGAGTGGTTGAGTGCCACGATTCACGCCGATTCTCAATCAGATAAGATCGCTCCTGCGATCGAGGCAAACCAGCCGTTGGTGCGCCAGAACGGACTTTGTGTCCCAGCGTGACATCCGGTCACGGAAGCTAGGCTTTGTGCGCGCTTCAAAAGTAGGAGTGGCGAATGCCACAATCAAACCATCTTCAATCGGGTTTTGGATCGCTCCCGCGATCAGGGGATAGTAGGTCTATCAGAGCTAGGGTGTAAGTAGATTATTAAGTGTATATATTTGTTTTGTTTTCTTGTTAATAAATATACTTGTTAGACGAAAGCTCTGTGTCTGTGGTCGCTGTGAATATACATGACGTCACAATAGTTACAACTACCCTGGTAGCTTTTGTAGTTGACGATAAATAATGGACAAGAAGAATTTGGAGGATGGAAAACTAAGCGAAATGATGTAATCATTTGTAGGAAATGTATTTTGATATATAAAATGCGTATTAGGTTCGAAAACAAACAAGATATTTTAAGATGTTTAACCTCCTTGCAATTCCTGCCACTTTTTATTTTATTCAGGTTCATTAAGGTTTTTTGTAATTACTTTTAAACTACTAGAGATAAATCTTAAGGTGCATAGCGAAAGTTGCACTTCGATTGCCTATAATTCTTCATCCAATGGCTTGTTTGACTAACCCAACGAGTTAGCTACATAGTCTGGAAAGATATTTTACGTTCCATAAACATTGTAGCAATTCTTGACCTACCGTTGGCTTGAGGGATTTTCCCCAACCAGGTATCTCCCAACAGAGCCACACGGGACAAGCCCTTAGCTCCCGACTTGTCACCCGTCATGAGTGGTAGAGTACTGCATGTAAGGTGTGAGAACAGGACAAGGAAGATAGAGAAAAGATCACGCGCGGTCCGTGGCCCGTTTGTTATGGTTCTGCTCTGGCATTCGCCTGGTGTTGTTCGGAGATACCACGGAAAACTACCGACCAGAGCAGACGGCCACTGTTTTCGATCTAGCTATGTATCTGGTGTCGAAAATGCTGCCGCTACCCACCGTCGGGACTCGACCGACCCGACGGTGCCATCAGTCAGAGATGTCACCGTCAGACACGCCATCAGCCGATGCGGTTGTGGTGGTTGCGTTCGCAGGGGTTGCGCGTCGGAGGTGTGGCACGTGGAGTACTGGGACGCGGCGGAGGTAGCGCGGCTGCTGGTGAACCGCGCGTGGCGCCTGCGCATGCGCTTCAGCCACGCCTTCATGTCGCCGGCCACCTTCGTGCTGCAGCTGCTGCGGGAGGGCGCGCTCGTGCGGGAGGTGGCCGTCCACGGCGGCGCCCGCTGGGACGACGCCGTCCTCTTCCCGGTGCGGCTGCCGCGCATGCGCCGTCTCGAGCTCGCCTCCAACGGTCTGCGCGACGTCGGCCAATGTTCGTATGTTCTTTTCCATGATGTTGATCTTCACCTCAACGCATTAATAGAACGTAGAAAATCGGGAGGGTAGGTCATTAAAAAAGGTTTTTTACACGGCCAACGTTTCGGCCCTTTGCTTGTAGGTAACTCAATGTAATGCGTATTAATAGATGGAAAGGCATTCTTGACTATCCGGGATGAGCCGCGTCTCGGTCAATTGTACAGAGCTTTCGGCCTTCTTCTGAACTATACTGCTGATGAAAAGTGATTTAAATGACGAACGCACATAATGTATGGAAAGTTTGCGACAGTCGCTCTTTCATCGCTCGTGTTGTAATGAACTGAATTTTCGTGTATTCACACATATTATTACATTTGTGTTTTAAACTGTACTAGTCAACTTGGTATTTACATTTCCTGAATATGAATTAATCAATATAATTTCTTATATTGCAGTTAATTTCATTCGCGTGCCAAATCTACTACATTTAAATCTGGCAAACAATAAGTTCACCAAAATACCAGAAGGACTGAAATATCTACAGCGTCTCAAATATCTGGATTTGTCAAACAATCCCATTGTGGACTCTGAGTTTGCAACGATCCTATGTCCCCTTCGCGACCTAAAGGAGCTGAATATATCCGGAGCGCCTCTTGGCAGCTTGGACATCCTTGTATCAGGCAATGCGAGCTGCGGAGGACATACAACGAACTCCAGTCCCGCAAACGGAAGCTTGGTGAGTTTTGGAATTACTTTGGAAAAATAGATTCATATAATTATCCACATCGGATTTCTTTGTATACGTGTACATTTAATCATTATTTATATTAATTCTCTTATGGAAAATTTATGACTCATTACATACTGTAACACTGCATTCCCCTTACAGTTTGCTTCACCTTACGCGGTTTCAATCGAACTCCCAACCTCCCTCTGATTGGTAGCAGTCTTGCCCGGCTGCTCTGTAAATTTAGGGAGGAGAGTCCGGGTGTCGAGACATACCATGCGGCTTGATAGATAAATAATTGGATTTTACATGGATTTACTTATTCTAAAATTACTTTACAAACAAGGGAGAGGAAAAATGGTAGGCGATCATATCATGGAGTGTGAAATGATGGCAGGTGCGCTTAAAATCTACCTAAACTCTAATTTACAACGTCGCTCCAGCGACGTCCTTCTTGACTGCGAGTGCGATGGGCAGCAGAAACCGTTTGTGGGCTCATGAGTAGGCCGGGCGACAGGTAGGCACTGAGCGAGGGTAGCCGCCAGCGGAGGCCCGAGGATTTTCTTCCATAGAGGACACTGGGCGGATGATCTCTCGTCTTTGACGCGTCTTTCGGGCGGTGGTCTGTCAGTGCACACGCAGGAGCAATTGCTGGCAATTGCGCCAAAGCGCGGCGACAGCGTGCCTCACACGCCCGGTCGATAAGGCAATTGCGCATACTGATTAGTCCGGGGCGGACTCCTAGCTGATCTCAGTTCGTGTTCATTTACAAGCTACTGTTGGATGGCCCAATACCAACGGCGGAGAGGCTGAAGATGCTGGACATGAGCGGGTGCAACGTGAGTTCCGTGGAGAGCAACCTATGTGCTCAGTCTCCTGATGTTCGTTTCCGGAATTCGCGCCTGGAGGTGCTGAACATTAGCGCATGCAACGAACTCCGTGGAGAGCAGCCTAGGTGCTCCGAGGGTCGTGATGTTCTTATTTGCAGTAATCGCGCCTGGAGATGCTGAACGCGAGCGCGTGCTACCTGACCTCTGGGTTGCGCAGCCTATGTGCTCAGTGTCGTCATGTTCTTGTTTCTAGTATTGGCGCCTGGAGATGCTGAACGTGAGCGCGAGCAACATTAGCTGAGTGGAGAGCAGCCTATGTGCTCAGAGTGTCGTCGTGTTCTTGTTTCCAGTATTCGCGCCTGGAGGTGCTGGACGCGAGCGGCTGCAACCTGCCCTCTGTGGAGAGCAGCCTATGTGCTCACTCTCCTGATGTTCGTTTCCAGTATTCGCGCCTGGAGGTGCTGGACGCGAGCGGCTGCAACCTGACCTCCGTGGCGAGCCGCCTGTGGGCGCGGGCGAGCAACCTGCGCACGCTGCGCCTGGCCGCCAACCCCTTGGCCTCCGTGCCGGCCTGGCTGGCGCAGCGGCTGCCGGCGCTGCAGGAGCTGGACCTGTCGGGCTGCCTGCTGGCCGCGCCGCCCGCGCTGCGCCTGGCGCCCGCCCAGCGCCTGCACCGCCTGCTGCTGGCGCGCAACCTGCTGGCGACGCCGCGGGGCGCGCTGGCGGCGGGCGACGGTGCCGGGGACGGGGCGGCGTACCTGGACCTGAGCGGCAACCCGCTGCGCGGAGAGTGGGGTGCGGGGGCGTTCGCGCCGCTGGGCGCGCGCGCAGCCGTCAACCTGTCGCGCACGCACCTCACCGCCCTCTCGCCCCAGATGCTGCGCTCCTTGGAGCCGCTCGCGCAGGTCGACCTGGGCGGCAACCCCTTCGACTGCAGCAGCTGCTCCATTCTACCCCTGCAGGATTGGCTCAGAAATAACACAGGTATGGGAACAAACTATAAAGGAACATGGAGGCAAATATTAGCTACATCACAAAGTATCACAACGAACTCGTTAACAGTTGTTGTGATGTAGCTAAGACTTTGCATTCGCGGGATTTGGGCGCCAAATACAAACAAACCTGTTGTTATTGGTTCCGTCCAAGTCGAAAAAATGCAATGCAATTGTCGGGCTTGTTGAAACGACAATTTCGTCGGTAAAGCCCCGATTCTGGGTGGTTATTGAAGTGCTAGTAGCTCCGGATGATATTATAGCTCTTAATGACGAGACCTATATCTGCACGTTTTTTAAGTGACGTGATTGCTTTGCAGATTGCAGTCAAAATATTTCGACCTAAAGATTTGTGACTGGAATGCACACTTTGTAAGTTATGATAGAAGTAAGTTTTCTACTGTAGTTTGGGGCCGACGAGAATTTTCATCGCCGTCCCCGAAGCTCTTTCGTTACAAATCCCCTCTCCTCTCATACGAGCTGTCTTCTGATCATGTGATTTCCGAATTTTTGCTATTTGTTGATTTGGGTGCTCGGGAAACTTCGGAAGTCTCTCTGACAATTATTGGCTTGGAGCTCCTACTCTACAACGGCGCTGATAAATAGGGACGTGGCCGTGTGATCTAATGGACGAACCGTGCGATCTCGTCCTTGTCCGCGCAGGTCCGGAAGTGGTGTGGCTGGGCGCGCGCTCGCCCGTGTACTGCTGGCGGCCGCTGTCGCTCCGCGGGCAGAGCGTCCGCGACGTCCCAGGCCCCGCGCCCGCGACCTGCGCCTCCGCCTCCGCCGCCGCCTCCGCCTCCTGGTGGACGGGCGGCGCCATCGCCGGGCTGGCGTCGGGCGCGGTGCTGCTGGGCGTCGCCGCCGCGGCGCTGCTCGCGCTCCGCTTCCGCCTGCACCTCACCTACGTGCTGCACGTCATCCGCGCCAACCGCGCGCTGCGCAGCGCCTCCAACGGCCCCTTCGCCAACTGCGACTTCGACGCGTTCGTCTGCTACAGGTGCGTTCCACTAATACTTAAATTCCCTGCATGTTCATTGGTTAGGGCGCATCAACTTCTAAGGTCATTAGTTCCATAAATGCAGTGCATATTTTTGTCATGGGACACGGCGGTAATTTTCTCCCGCTGGATGCCAAGATTCGGCGCCATCCTACATGTGAGCTAGCGGGGGTTTCCTCAGCGAGGTTTCTCCCACCAGCAGGGCACGGCACCACCCGGGACACGCTCTAGGGTCCTCGCTTGTGTAGTAGTATAGTGCACATAAGAGTGAGTGTAAGGGATGAATATTACACGAGGAAGAAAAAGGAAAGATCTTTTTGAACAGCGAGTGCACTGCTATTCTGGAGACCGACTGGCGAGCTAAGTTTCTGACGGCCTAAAATAAGAGCGCGATCGTAGGTCCGCGCAGCGCATAGCAGTGTTATAATTTGCAGATCAATTCCGTCAATTCACTTATTTAAATTTCTTTTTCATACGAGGAAAGTAATTGTTTCTTCGCTAATATTTTGACTATACTCAGAGCTTCGACTCTATAACCACAACTTTCTGAACGTTATAGAAGAAGATAATTTCTTACAAAACAGCTATGCTGAACTTCTCAGCAATGACATAAGAAACCTTTACTCACCTAATTCAGGAAAATACTATGGTGAATATTTTTGTAATCTCTCACGCTTGCCGTATATACATTGAGATATGTCAGTTATAATTTAGAATGAATTAGGTCGAGAACTCAAAGGAGGATGAAAAGTTTCTTAGTATGCCAGAAAAGGCATGTTTGTCAGAATATTTTGCACTTGGATATCACAAAATTGTTGATTGATTTTTGTTATCATTTGCACAATACTAGTCATCGTACGTGCATTGAATAGGGCAATAATTTGGACTCTGGGCTGAAAGTACAATTATAAATAATAATTATTAGCACCTTAAATTGTCAGTTGAGGGTCATGTTGGTGTCTGACAGTAAATTCAATAGACATATTCCAGTAGTCATGTTGACTGTGACAACATAACTGTAAAAATAAATTACTCAGTAGTGTGAAGGACAATTGCTACTCACAATCTCACATATAATTGTCTGAGCGTATATTTTCTTGTACTATGTCAAAATAACTTCGGCATACAGGCTTTTGTGGCATATTTTGTACAAAATATTAGCGATAGCGTCCAATGGCGTTACAAATACCCCACTTGTTTACTTTGGGAAAGGAACACTAACGTGCCAGTCAAGAACATGAGGAGGCGTTTAAACTACATTCAAATTCGTATTAAATGATGAAACTGTTGACGCCTAATAGTGATAAGTACTTTTCTAGCGATATAATCTAACAGTTGTATATTCCTAAAATGCCCTATTAAAACTTACTCCATCAGTTTAAAAAAGTAATTGTTTTGTATTCTAGAGAGTGTACAATAATGGTAATTTTTAATTTACGATTACGTTATTAAATTTTGACAGCGGTTATCTAAAAATGTAATTCTATTCATTCAAAGAAATTTTTTTGTATTTATTTAAGGTCGCATTAACATCTAGCTCATTAGCGACCAATATTGCATTTAACGGTGTCGTAAGTTTCTAACTGTAAATAACATGTAAACAATGTAACTGTAAGATGACATGATACGGTGATGATAGGGGGTGAAAGGGCTCGAACACGCGATCCTTCGGTGCACGATCGCTATAGTACTACTACCTTGACGATTTCAGCCATCCGGACCGGCTCGAAGAACTTCGTTATAAAATAAATTAGAATATTGAATTCTGTATTATATATTTTACTCTCGGTTTTGCAGAAAGCAAAGTGAAAGAATAGCAAAATATATTTGAAATTATTCATTTCAAAAGTTCTGTCGTATTTAAAATAACTTATTTCAAGAGTTCACTTGACTGACTACGGAAAGTGTAAATACAGTGAAACCTCGTTAATCCGACCACGTGATTAAAACTTCAAATTGGTACTTTAGAGGGATGACCTTAAAATATCGCACTGTTCAACAGGATTCACTAGCTGCTGCTACGACTGCTACGACAGGCTTCGTATCACTGTTCTGGTTCCAAATAAAAGCTTTGATCATTTCTATTTATTAATTAACATGATTACAAAAAAGAATAGTATAGTATACTAGAAGAATTTTCCTCGAAGTAATGCGTTATTGACATTAGGTGGTCCCGTGGATTATCGTAACCCAGAAGAATTAATTTGCTTTCGTGAAACCATCTTTCATATTTATGGACCAATAGTTTCTGAGCGCTTTTCTGTACATCAACCGTCAGCCGTCGGAAACAGAATGCTGCCCGCAGCTGTCGCTTGCACTAACGGGCACGGCCGTTGAATGCAGTTCTTTTTTTTTTCTTAGCGACATTTTTCGGTACAAGCGTCGACGATCGCTGGCGTAAATAAAACTGGTTTGATAAAAGAACCTGCGCGAGGCTAGTGGGGATCAACCAATCTGCATGGAGAATTTTATAGCCACATTGAAATTGCGGAAACCATACAGTTCTCGTGCTTTATTAGTTTCATCTTCTCGAAAGAAAATTGACTCCTAGTAAGAAGGAAGTGTCTTTCCCCTCTCCGTGAATGTAAAATCTGTGTTTATTACCGTCAATGGATCCAATATAATACTTCATACTGCAAAGAAGATGCTGGAATGTTACAGCGATTAGTGTGATACTTATAGTACTGTAATACTGAGATACTATTAATATGATATAAAACTTGTTTCACTCGTCCTTCGACGTCCATTCGTTTTTCCACATAAATTTTCAAGCTGACTGATTATTATTACTGGAAAACCACTGCCGACTGCAACAGGAACAGGGGTTCTATATATTTGTTGATACATTTAATTTTTAAATTTAAAAGTAATGTTAATAAGAATAAATCTTGTAACTCTTTATTTTATGTTAATTTATATTTATTAAAAAACTTTTTCCTTGAAGGTATGTTGCTAATCGTTGTAACGTTAAGGTCATGCGGAATAGACGGAAACTGTAATAATATTAAAAGGAGCTAGTATGTGTGTAGCTGGTATGTAAATATCTCCAAGAATAGTTAACAGTTGACATTATAATTAAAACGTAATTTTTTGAGTATTTCACAATACACATGACGATGATGGCAAAAGTGCGCTCAAAAGTATTATTTTTACAAATAGTCTAATATAAATTTTAAAATTATGATTTCGTATAGATCTCGTGTCTTCGTATCTTCAAATCGTGCAATTTTTTACATTCAAGACAGTAATAAAAGCAGGGGATTATTATAAACATAAACATCAATTAATATTCCGTAAAAAAACTCAAAGTAAAGCAACCAAATGACGCAAATAAATCAATAAACTGCACTTACTTCAAAACCTTTTATGCAATCGACAATACCACGGTAAAAGCTTATTCTACTATACAGTAGTGCACGGGTTCCCAACGGGGTCTGTATCGACTCCCCAGGGGTCGATCATATTTTAAAGCGGGGCTGTGTTGATCTACCTCAACTGGAGGCCTAGAGGCCTAGTTACGTGCCTAGTTACGTGCCGGTGACTTATTGGTAACAAGGTCATTATTTTTATAATTAATATACCGCGTTCTATGTAGCAGGGAAAAGTGTAAGAAATCTATAAAGAAAACCATTCTTTGAAAAGGGGATGATTAAGAAAAAGGTTGGGAATCCGTGCTGTAGACGAAGGAGAACGGCGGATCGCATAATCATCGTTTCAGAGACGCGTTTCGGTCGCCATTCTGTGACCTTCCTCGTTTGCACAAACGTCATTACGCCCTAAGGAAGGTCGCAGAATGGCGACCGAAACGTCGGCACCTTCGTCATGGACACGGCGTCACCCGGACAGCCAATTAAATACTCATGAACCCGATCGTCTTTGTTTCTCTGATAGGCACCGGAAACGCAACCCCTCGTCCTACAGTAGTACGCGACCTCTCCGGTTAATTATTTCAGTGGGAGATTTTCTGATCGTCTTAAGGGAAACGCGATGTTACATCACGACAAAAATTCGTGGTCGTTGGTCGTCGTCATAGAGGGGTGGTCATCTTCAACAGGCGAAATATGCATTGAACTTGTGGGATAATTATTTCGTTCACCAGAAAACTGGTCTCGAAAAGCAGTGGTATTCTTACAGAGGTGGTCTTGTCGAGAGGTTCAACTGTATCACTAAGTCCTACGCACACACAGTCGTCAAATAAAACATGCCGTCTAAACAGTTTAAAAATAATTTCTGTATTTATCCTGCAGACAGAATGTAACTTCAAAGAAATGTGAAGTACAAACGGCTCATCGCAGATTGTCATAAATATATTCTGTAACCGATCAAGTCGTGTAATGACTAATTCATAGATGTCAAGTCGATGAGCGTATCGCCTGACGTACGTTGCGTGACGGGTGATAAGGGTGAACTGATATGCCAACCAATCAACCAAATAAATTATGAGGCAATTAGATTCGTGTCTACCCCGACTGTTCAGAAAACTTCGAGCGTGTGGTACCCGGAAGTATACTGATGGTTTGTGAATTCCAAATAAAGGCGGGGACGGAAGGTCGGAAAATATTTGAATTTGTTGAACAATATCGAAATCTTACCTACTGCTGAAGGACAGGTATCTCTCCCCAATGGAGTGAATGGGTGATTTTGCTTCTTGGTGCAGACTAGAAACGAAGGAATAGAAACATTCTGTATCCATTACTGGAAGATGGCGACGGGGTTTGCAGTCAGATCTGAAAAATACTTTCAATACATTTTGTACACCCTTCAAACCGTTAAAAGTCATTGATCATCGATATACTTACGAATTTGTTCTAAAAAATCAGATACATCTAAGCATGAAGAATTTCTTTCATATGAAGGATTGGGTTTTCCCTCAACATAAATCGCCTTACCATGTTCAGAGAGAGATCA